CCCAGGCTGGAGTGCAGTGGCGCAATCTCAGCTCACAGCAACCTCTACCTCCCAGGCTCAAGCTATCTGCCCACCTTGGCCTTCCAAAGTGCCGGGACTACAGACATGAGCCATGGTGCGCAGCCTCTCTTGGCCTGTAATATTAAATCTCTTCTTTGAGCAATTTCCTCCACAATAACAAATTTAGGAAAACCAAAGAAATATTTTGTGCACTTGCAGTAGAAATATATGCTTATGACATTTTTGTTCTCTCTCGGTGTAACCTCAATGCAGCCCCCTCTCAAATGTAAGATTTCTGTGTTAGCAAAAGCTTTGTTCCTACTTAAGAACAGGAACTATTTCTCTATCAGTTAGTAAGAACATGAACTTTTCCATTTCTCTTTGGCCTTTAGAAAGCTCAAAGCCCAATTTGGAACTTCAACTATAACAACTGAGGGATCTCGTAGCCTGCAAATTTGCCTCTATTTTTTCTTCTGATCTTCAGAGTCTATTATATTCTTTTACACATTTCCCTGATCCTGCTCCTGAAAATATATGTATATGTAAAAATTAATACATTTAATATATAAGCAGCTAAATTAATTACATCTAAAAGACTTAACAGTAATTTTTTTTTTTTTTTTGAATGTGTATTAGGCTGGTGGAATAGAGAAATGTAGTAAATAGAATGTGGCCGGATTTCAGCAAGCAGATGCCAGGATCTTTCACTGCATCCTTGTGAACAAGTTGGGAAAAAAGAGACAGGTCAATCAGGCAGATTTACACTTGTTTTAGGTGAAGTCTTACTCTGTCGCTTAGGCTGGAGTGCAATGGTGCCATCTTGGCCCACTGCAACCTCCAACCCCCGGGTTCAAGTGATTCTCCTGCCTCAGTCTCCTGAGAAGCTGGGATTACAGGTGTGCACCACCACACCTGGCTAATTTTTATATTTTTAGTAGAGATGGGGTTTCACCATGTTGGCCAGGCTGGTCTCAAACTCCTGACCTCAAGTGATCCACCTGCCCCTGTCTCCCAAAGTGCTGAGATTACAGGTGTGAGCCACTGCATCCGGTTGATTTACACTTTTTTGATTAAATGACAGCTCTCAACCTGGAAGGAAGTTTCTGCCTTGAAGACTCAGGGGGTTTTTCCCCTGCGCTCCCATTCTACCTTCTTCATATTCCATTACGGCAATAACCACACTGAATTATATTCTGCGCATCCGTTTTCCCACTGGCTGTGAGCTCTTAAAGGGCTGTTTCTTTTTACTTATGATTCCCTCATGACTAGGACAGTGCAAATAGAAGGTGCTACATAAATATCTGCCATATAGAATAGATAATTTTTGTGAATGCCGAAAGCTGTCTTTGGCTCTACTTCATTGTTTTTAGCAATGACCTAGATGAAGGCAGGTACATCAATTTTAGAAATGACATGAAGCTGGGAAATATAATAACTATGTTCAAAGAAAGAATGAAAACATGTAGTGGTAGCCTGGAACAATGGGCCACATTTAACAAGACTGAAGGAATAATAAAGCTCTGTAATAGGGTCCAAAATAAATCACCATAAAAGCACAGGCTGGTCTTGGGGTTTTCCTAAACTCCTCTGAGTACTATAAGTATGATACAGGTAAAAATAAACAAAAGAAATGTGATCATAAACTGTACTAATCAAAATATACTATCTAGAAAAAAATAGGTTGAATGACTACTAATTAATACATTAATTAATAGTATAATTAATTAATTAATTATACACCAGGCTGGGCATGGTGACACATGCCTATAACCAAGGGGTTTTGGAAGACTGAGGCAGGAGGATCCCTTGAGCCCAGGAGTTCAAGGCTGCAGTGAGCTACAATTATGCCACTGCACTCCAGCCTAGGTAACAGAACAAGACCTTGTATCTAAAAACAAAAACAAAATCACGAAACATTATATGGCTAATTCTGAGCACTGTATTTAAAGAGGAACACTGACATAGCTAAAGTTGACGTTGAAGGGACTGAAAACTGCATCAGACAACAGGAGACAGTGTCAATGTTTTATAAGGAGAAAAGACTTGTGTGAAACATGATAGCTGTTTCAAAAGGGTGTAGAAAAAATTAAAGTTGTTACGTAAAGCCCCAAAGCTGTAGAAGCATATTGTAATTAACTGTTTGAAAGCCAATGTAAGCTTAAGAAAGAAGGTATAGACAGGAGGAACTCAGGAGTGCTGAATGTTCTTCTCATCAGCTCACAGGCTGTAAAGGAGACTCAATCATTAGCTAGGTGGTTTTACTACAAGATTTGTCATTTTAGGTGCAATTATACCTACAGTACAGAGATTCTTCAAGGCTACTATACATAAAGGTCATACACATGGTGCCCTAATTACTTGTTACTCATTCCGCAGCATCTATACTTTGAGAATGTACTGCTAAAAATAGCTCAAATTCTTAGCTAACCTAAGACATAAACTAATCAATGCCACCGTGAAAGAAAAAAGGGGCAGTGAATGACAACTAGTGAAGGAAAGATTTCTCGTTTGACTAGCAGAGGCCTTTATGTCTAAAAAAGTATTTGTATTTTATTCACCTCAAATAATGCCTAAAGACATAAATATACTTAGATTG